TACGGCCGTTGCGGCCCAGGCGCAAGAGGCGGGTGCCTTCCCCTCGCTGTGGCCTCGCGTCTCGGCCCGGCTCTTTTTCCCCTTCCTTGCTGCCCTGTGCTTGCTCTGTGAGCTGAAGCCCCATTTTGATACCTGTGCCAGCCCAGCGCGCTTTGAATTGCACCTGACCTTGGCTCTGGTCTGCTATTGACCCTGCGGTGATGTATCAGAGCCGGGCTTTCCCCCTTAAAATGGGTTCAGGGGTAAAGATAGCTTCCAGGAATCGGGAGATAAGGACCAGGATAAGGCCTGGGCTCTGACATGGATTTTGCCCTTAGCGCTGAAATAAGGTAGCAGCTTTCTGTGGTGGGGTTCTAACGCACCTGAAAAATACGTATTTAAGTGCAGTACTACAGAAGCCTAATTATCCGGCAAGATGTCACCATTATAGTAAGATATTAGAGAAAGCACATCTGCTTCTGTTCTTTTTATTTATTTAATTTGCACGTTAAATGAAGCTGAAATCTTTGTGTTATTTTTTCCTCCTTCATGCCTCCTCTTTTCAAAATGCCTGTAAGTCGGAATGACATCCATGCAATCTCCTAATTCACATTCTTTAATCTGCTGTTAATTCACCAAGATTCTGTCTTTCCATTCAAATGTCTCCTATACCAACATTCCCACACCCATTTCTCGTTCTTCTGCCTAACCCACTTCCTATCTCACAAAAGTCTCTTGACTTGAAACACCTTTTCTGTTATATCTCAATAGTTTTGTACTTTGACATGTCTCCTCATCTCAAAATGACACTGTAATTCTAGCCTAAGCAGTCATAAAACAAACTTCATTAAGTAACACTGTTTCTATATAGCAAACAATAAAACAATAACAGTTATTAACATATTAACTTTTCTTCAAAGCTTTTAAATTACCTCCAGTCCTACATCGCTTTTTTTATCATTTACAGCTAGACTAAGATCTGTTAGACTGTCCCTTTATTTTAAATAGCTGTCTCATTTTGAGTCTATTAAAATATCCTTTTTAAATAAATGATAAATATATGATAAATATATATAAATATCCTACAGTCCCAAGCTGTTTTACTAAATAATTGTTAATTAGTTCATATCGCATCTTTAAGCAGTGCGGAACCATCCAGCATCCATAATTGGGATAATAAGTATTCATGGCATCCCAGGCAGTATACTAGGGAATAATGACAAAAAGAGGTAACAACGGGATTAGCAACACATAGAGTGACTTGCCATCAACATAAATTCAGTTTGGATGTCCCTTTCTCTAGATCATAAGATGTAGAATGAAGGTGTCTCGAGCTTGAATTTAAGACGTCTCCAAATAGTAAATGTTTTAAAATAGTTTCAAGGAGCAGGCCTATATGCCAAAAAGCTATGATTTTGTTCATTGATACTAAATGTTTTGAAACACCCATTACAACTCTGTCAAATTATACTACAAGAAATTTAACTCTCCCATAGAAATAGGAAAATTTTATCAGGAATATCATAAAATGCTTTCCAACAACAAAGCTTCCTACCTTGAAGAATAATTTCCATTTCAGATCTAGTGTCTGTGACTTTTTAGCCTTTATGAAGAACTAGAAAAATATGTTCTGCTCCACAAGGGTGATGAAACAAGTTTTGTGAATCATGATTTGCTTAAATCTGAGGACAATAGAGAGCCCAGAAGTTTTCAGAATCTTCCACTGCATGATTAAACTTGAAGCATTTCTCTTTCTGCCTAATTTCTTCAAGGTTTCTCAGCTGGTGCATGAATGTCCTAACCATAGGATGTAAGACATTCTCAACAGTCCTTCCCTCTGTCTCCACTCAAGGAAGTTTTCATGGATGAACTACTGAAATTGTCATCAAGAAAAACAACAAGGAAGTAAAACTGACTTTCTAACATAATAGCTGAAGCACTTATATAGAAGATAGAAGTTTGAATCCCCACAAGCACAGGCAGGGAATAACTGTGTGTTACGCTGTAATCAAGCCACAAGAAGAAAGAAGAAACACTTCCTCTTCCAACAATCTGGTAAATGTGATCTTTGTTTTCCTATATTTCAGAATACGTGAAATAAAACCTTTTATGTGACTACACAGAACTTGTGTCAAAGTGAACACATTCACAGATCTTCCTCCAGAGGTAAAAAAAAAAAAAAAAAAAAAAAAAACACACACCTAAGCACTGAATGTATTTTATCCAAGATGTGTCCCCTGTAACTCGTGCTCTGGGCATCCCTGCTTGAGCAGGGGGGTTGAACTAGATGATCTCCAGAGGTCCCTTCCAACCTCAACCATTCTGTGATTGCTCTGACCAGAGTTAAACTAGATGCACGTGCACTTTCCTCTACCCGTCATTTCATGTGGTAATGTGCCAGAATTCTGCACCAATACCAATGATCGTGATGAATTTGGGGTAAGTGAGTTACAACATGGATATTAATATTTTTCAAAAGTCTGGGAAATCACACCCAAGGTAAAAAATAATCATTAGAATAGTATACATATGGATAGAAGACATTTTTTTAGTCACTGAAGCTCAGAAACAGCTCTAAACTTGCTCATCGCACCTTCCTTGTGCAATGTGGAGTTACAGAGCTAAATGTAGCTCATCCTTTGCTTGAAGAAGATGGATAAAACTCATCAGTAATGTCATTAGGAATGTGTATCCATTATCTTGCAACATTTGGTCACTGCATGCCATCTATAGTCTACACTCAATACCTTTTTCCTATGATGTTTACCACTGATCAAACCTTTCAGGTCTTCCCTCTCGGTGTATATGACCATCTAGGCATCAAAATAAGTGTTGCAGGCAGGAAAGGGAGCACGGCACGAGGCTGGTGAACCCGCCTTCCTGGGGCCTCTGCAGGAAGGGACGCGAGAGTAGGGGTCAAGTCAAGCAGTGGTAGTTCGTGGGTGATTTCAGAGGTCACCAGGGGCACACACTGTTGCAAGCAGAGAGCTAAGGACTTGTGGAGGGGAGGGGAACCTAGTAGCTAAGGACACAAACAGCCCCATTTCAGGGTATGAGATCTGATGCATCTGGAATAGCCAGTTGCTTCACAGCAATCTACTAACTAACGTCCGAATTTGTGTAGCAAGGCAATGTGAGAAGTGTTACTATCCAGCAGGGGAACTGAAACTAAAGCAACTGATCAAAATATCAGCTGCTTTTGGATGCCTCTCTTTTGAACAGTGTATGGGGAAGGTTTAATCTTTCTCTTACCTTTAACTTGCTCATAGAACAGTCCTCAGTGATCTCCGTTGCAACTGAAAGGAAGTGCTCAGCACTTTGACAGTTCCGTATTCAATTATCCTAAGCCAGACTGCAGAAAGGAAGAATAAAATCACTGACAAGCAATAGGAAAAAATATTTCAATGACCTACCCATAATATGTAATTTTTGTTAGGTAGGCAGCATATTCTGTCCTACAAAGGAGTCTGAGCCACGTTAACAAGATTCTCCCTTTTCCTCAGGCCCTTGCGTCACTCATGACCTTCTTTCTGTTTGTTATCATTTACACTGTGCATTGATGAAGGAGGCATCGTGCTGAAGGCCAGGAATGTAAATAAGGCTTATCATGGTGAATATGCAATACCGAGCAAGTTAAGGTAATCTGGGCACTTTTTTTTTTTTTTTTTTTTTTTGTGTGTGTGTGTGTGTGTGCAGCTTTTTAAAACAAAATATGTTAGCCCTTGTTTTTGTGTATTTAATACCTTTGAAGATACCTGGCACCCAGATCAGATACTGCAGCCATAACAGTAACAGTTGATCTACTGCTTCTTGCTCATACCTGAGCAGCCAGACAGGGAAGGGTAGTTAATAGAGAAGGTGAAAACCTAGTCTTTTCTTCTATTCAAAATCCAGCTGATCACCTTCTCCCCTTCCCCCCTCTTTCTTCTAAGATTAATACATTGCTACTTCTTAGGGAATAAGTCTAGAGAACCGTTTGCTTACACCCCTTTCCCCCTGCATTACATTGTCATACTTACGTTTCAAATATTGTCCTTTAACCCGTTAGTATGCTCTTTGGAAAAGGACTTGCCTTCCATTGTAGGCCTGAACACAACCAGCTACAAGATCACGATCCCAAGCTGCCATGTTTGTCAACAACTTAATGTTAAATTTAGAACACTAGCATGTGTGAGAGAGATCATTCAGTTCCATTCACAAGATAATTCAATTAACAACATCAGACGCCTCACAGGAGGTGTAGTGAAGACACAATGAACAGCAGTGTCTAAAGATGTTTTTTATGTAACAGCTCAGCTTCAGTTTTGGGTCTAGAAGCAGCAAGCTTTTCCCATTTCCAGGTTGACTTAAGTAAATATGGCCTATTTGTATTAATCTCATAGGCATAAGGAGAATAAGAAATTATATTTATGTAAATATATATAATATCAGTCTGCATAACTTAAATATATCTGTGGCTGAAGATGTGTTCTTTTCCCAGATATGAAGCAATTGTGTTTCAGTTATAGGAAAGCACTGGAGATAAAATATTTGCAGTATTGCTTTATTCCAAAAGAGGGTGCTAAAACACAAAATTTACTCAAAATATCCCAAAAACTGTACAATTACTCAAATTGGCACCTCCTCCAGCACAAGCTTGTGGCTTAGTTTTTACTTTACATGTCCACAGCTGGCGATTTAGTACAAGGCCTAGTTTTAGGTGTGCAGACATGTTGCACCAATCACAGATTCAGGAACCAAAAGCACAGAAGAAATAACATTACACAAAGAACTAAGTAAACCAGAGAAAAGCCACAACTCACTGGGTGAATGGAACTTGTATCATGTTTAACTCCATAACTGCCCATAACAGCACTAATAGTACTGAGATCTTTAGATACATGAGCACAGTCCTCTGACAATAAAGTTAGCAAAAGAGCGTAACAGAAGAAAGAGATCCTCTTTGATCTGCTCAAGGAAACAAGAGACATTTTCCCACTGGCTTAAAAAGATATTTACTCATTGGGCAAATTCTTGAAGACAGTCAAGTTCTGAGTTTAAATTCCAAGTTTTGAAGATCAAGTTATCAAGATCAGTGGTTGGCAATGGGAGAGATGGCTGATCTCACTTTCCCATCCCAAACTAAATGTTTAACCTACTGATTTTGACTTAACAGGACCTGAGAGTTGCTGTCTCTCCAAGAGACGTGATGGTGACAGTTGGCTGATCAGTGGTACCTTGTCTACCCCGTTTCATGTTGAGTTGCAAGCACAGTGGGAGACCTGGCAGTTTGAAAGCCAGTGCAATGCAAAAGTTACCTTTTTAGATGCCAGTGTTGTGCAATATTCTGAAAGTCCTCCTGGAAATTCAGCGGTATGCAGTTTTTGGTACCTATGTCAAAGGTTTTCACTCCTCTGGAAGGTACAGATATTTAATACTTGTGCAGTTCTGACTTTTTCTCTCCCTTCTTGCCTGCCTTTTCCACTACCCCATATCCCAGCTCTTGATTCTGTCCTTCCCCTTCTATAATCCTCATCCTGCTTGAGTATCCCAAGGCACTGCCTGTCACACCATTCTGAGGAAGACCAGTGTGGAGTCTGCTCTGCGTGCAGGAGCTGTGTAGAGCATGCTACAAATTGACAGGTTCCTGGGAGAATCTAACTATCAAAACAGCTAAGCTGAGGCTGTGCTTTTGATATCCTAGGGGGACATATGTGTTTGCCATAGCTGGATTTATGTCTGTATAGATAGTAATCAATTACCAAATCAAATATGGCAGGTGATTATTCTATGAAATTTCAGCCCCTCATTCCAAAAGAGGGAACATGGTCAAAGGATTTGACTAGGGAAACCTGTATTTTTACCTAACATTGTTTTGCAAGGCAGCTAATCTACCTTTAATGATAATGACAATAAATAATAATAATAGTAATAAAGCTTGCAGCAGGCACTTCACATAGAAAGCTTCTGAGCTTCAAGCCTTTTTTTTTGCCAAAATCATAAGAATGAATAAAATAATGAGAATGAAAAGGGGTCTTATAAAATCATCAACTAACAATGGCTTGTGGGTATTCTAGATTACTTAATAATTTGCTTCTAAATTTATCAAACTTATTTTAGAAGCTTGCTGAATTTTATTTTAAAGCTCTCTTCCCTCTTCAATGAAACTAAGTATCACTCATCTTTTCATTTAAATGGAAGTCTGGCATAGAAAAATCAAAGGCTGTTTGATAATATCTAATGCAAATGAGCAGTCCAAGCCCAGTTCACACACGAGATAGATGTGAATTGCAGCTGGCTTTTTTTTGCTTGCATCTTAGACTAGTAGGATCCTAGCTGCATACAGAGCTAAGTAGATGGGTTACAAGGGAGCCTCCTCACTAGCTGGCTTTGCTAGCAGGGAGGCTGGCTGGGACTGCGCTGCTTTCAGTAGCTTTCCCTCCTGCCACCCTGCCAGGAGGCTTCCCTCCTGCCCATGGACTGTCTTCCAAAGGTGGCCTTAGCCTGCTGCTGAGGGATCTGCACGTGTAGGAATGGCTCAGGTTATTTATTAAACTTCAAGTAAGCAATGAGGTTTTTGACTCCACTTTCTTGAGTGCTGTTGTTGGACACATTTGGCTTTCAGTGTAGGGACAACTGCTGACTGTGAAGAGAGCACAAGTTATATAATTATCCTTTGTCCCTGCACTTTAAACTTTATGAAAGTAAGGCCATTGCCATCACGAAGAGGGAAAACAAAATCAGCAGAAATAGTGAGCCGACCCCACGATAAGGAGGTCTCGGGAACCAGCAAGCTCTTGTGTAAAGCGTAACACCAGTCCCAGCAGCTTCCCCCTCCATTCTCAACAGCAGCATGATCAGGAGGAAAAAAATATGGACAAAATGTAGGCACGTCCGCAGCACACCGGAGCGGAGCAGCTGGCAGAGAGCATGTGCTGCCGCTCGAGGTGCTTTAGGCACATGCTCCCTATGGCAGTGTAAAGCCTTGGGGGCCTCCAGGGTAAACGTACACAATCTGCACAGCTGTTTTCATAGAATAAAGCACTGGCAGTAGGAAATACTTGTTATGCATATAGTTCTCCCAGTTCTGGTTTGCTTTGCATAGGATAAAATTCCCTAGAGAAATGGGAGGATGCGTTTCTCTTGAGCTGTTGCTATAGCAATATTAACACTAGGTTTCCATCCTGTAGGAGTATTCATATTTCTTTTGAATCCAGCAAATCTAGGAGCACACTTGGATACATGGGTACCCAGATAAAATTCCTCTGAAATTATTTGGAGTTTTACTACAGCCAACATAGGTGCGGAGCTGTAAGATTTTGCTTCCATTTTATTTATGAATAAGACAATCTTTCCTATAAATACTCCCAGAGCTGCTTAAAGAAATGAGAAAGTATGGACAGTAAACTGCCTTTCCTTGTTATAGTATAGACGTTATATATAATACGTATTACATAATG